GCGAGTCCCTTCACTGGCTTCTCATTCACAGCAGAATTAAAATCAAAATTCTCACTGGTCCTTTTAGGGTAAATAATTTAATTATACAGTAAGCATGCATACACAGACAATATCAGTGACACAATGTCATTGACACATATAAGCTCACTGACATAAAAACACAGGCTCCCTGATGAACACAGAAAGGCTCGCTGGTAGACAATCTCACTGACACACACAGACAAGCTTACTGGTACACATATACAAACTTAGTACAGACAAACTCTGACACACACACAAGCTTACTACAGACACACTCACTTGTATACACACAGAATCATACTACAGACAGACTCACTGGTATACAAACAGAAACTAACTATGGACAAGCCTACTTCCACACATATACACACACACATGCTCACTGGCACACACATGCTCACTAAAGACAAGCTCACTGACTCACATATGCTTACTACAGACAAACCCATTGACACACATACACATGCTTACTACAGACAAGCTCACTGACACACATGCTCACTACAGACAAGCTCACTGAAACGCACATACAAGCTCACTAGACAAGCTTGCTGACATTTACTTACTACAGACAAGCTCACTGACACATACAAGATCCCTTACAGATAAGCTCACTAACACACACAGGCTCACTACAGAAAAGCTCACTGACACACATATGCTGCCTACAGACAAGCTCAATGGCATACACCTGCTCACTACAGAAAAGATCACTGACACAAACTTGCTGCCTAAAGACAAGCTCACTGACATACACATGCTCACTACAGACAAGTTCAGTTACACACATGTTCACTACAGACAAGCTCAGTGACACACACTAACACAAGCTCACTAGACAAGCTCACTAACACACATGCTTACAGAAAAGCCCACTGTCACACACATGTTCACTACAGACAAGCTCACTGTCACACACATGCTCACTACAGACAAGCTCACTACAGACAAGCTCACTGACACACATGCTCATTAGACAAGCTCACTGACACACACAAGCTCCCTACAAACAAGCTCACTGACACACAAATGCTGCCTACAGACAAGCTCACTGACATACACAAACTCACTACAGACAAGTTCAGTTACAAATATGCTTACTATAGACAAGCTCACTGACACATACAAGCTCACTAACACACACAAGCTTACTACAGACAAGCTTACTGGCACACATGCTGTCTACAGACAAGCTCATGCCACACACACATGCTGCCTACAAACAAGCTTACTATCACACACATGCTGCCTACAGACAAGCTCACTGACACACACATGCTTACTACATATACACTCACTGACACACACATGCTCACTACAGACAAGCTCACTAATATATACATGCTCAGTAAAGAAAAGCTCACTGCCACACACATGCTGCCTACAGACAAGCTCACTGACACACACATGCTCACTGTCACACACATGCTTACTGCAGACAAGCTCACTGACACACACATGCTCAGTAAAGAAAAGCTCACTGCCACACACATGCTGCCTACAGACAAGCTCACTGACACACACATGCTCACTGCAGACAAGCTCACTGACACACACATGCTCAGTAAAGAAAAGTTCACTGTTACACACATGCTCACTACAGACAACCTCACTGTCACACACATTCTCACTACAGACAGGCTCGCTACAGAAAAGCTCACTGACACACATGCTCACTAGACAAGCTCACTGACACACACAAGCTCAGTACAGAAAAGCTCACTAAAACACACATGCTGCCTACAGACAAGCTCAATGATATACACATGCTCACTACAGACAAGTTCAGTTACACACATGTTCACTACAGACAACTTCACTTAACTAACACACACTAACACAAGCTTACTATCACACACATGCTGCCTACAGACAAGCTAACTGACACACACGTTTTCTACATATACACTCACTGACACACACATGCTCACTACAAACAAGCTCACTAATATATACATGCTGCCTACAGACAAGCTCACTGACACACACATGCTCACTGTCACACATATGCTTACTGCAGACAAGCTCACATTGACACACACATGCTCAGTAAAGAAATGCTCACTGCCACACACATGCTGCCTATAAACACGCTCACTGACACACACATTCTCACTGCAGACAAGCTCACTGACACACACATGCTCAGTAAAGAAAAGTTCACTGTTACACACATGCTCACTACAGACAAGCTCACTACAGAAAAGCTCACTGACACACACATTCTGCCTATAGACAAGCTCAATGATATACACATGCTCACTACAGACAAGTTCACTGACACACACTAATACACTTTTGTATTGTCTGAGATTTATTAAACCTCTGTCTTTTTACGTGTACTAATTCTACCCATGTACGGTGCTCCAATGCTTTATAAATGAAGTATCATAATAATAATAATAATAATAATAATAATAATAATATTTAAGTGGCAGCTTCAAGTCCTTGCTTTCAAAGAGGTCCAGATCTGCCACAATGTAAATGTTCAGTAGACTTGTTCAAAAAAGTAAGTTATACGAATCAAAATACTTTTAATCAGCACCCAATCGATTTGAACAGGAAATAATTTATTCCCTAAACAAATCAATTTATTTTGGTCCAGATTGAAAGATTTTGCTTTATACGAATCACTTGATTTATGGACAAAACACATTTTTGCACGAGTCTAATTTTCAGGTTATTTGTTTTTTTTCTTTCATCCCATGGTGCACTATTTGTGTCTCGGAAGTCTTTTTTTTTATTTATTAATTGCTTCCCAGTCACTGCATAGTACTTATAGTGGACTGTGTGTTATTATTTTCTTGGGTTACCATATCTCCTGTAAAAAGGTTTCCTCTGTATTGGGATAAGTGAGCTAAAATTCATAACGATGTATTACTACCATAAACAAATCTGCTATCCATTCTCAACCAATCACTTTGTTACAAGGAGCATAAATCCTATTTCTAACTTTCAGCCCGTTTGTTTCAATACTATGTTGTAATGAAGGTTTTTTGTTATTTTTTATTTTAATGGATGCATTCCCTTGAAAAACAAAAAGTGAAATCCAGATATCCAAAGACATCGGATACTGGTAAGTAAAAAAAATATTTATTTCACAGGTTATTTTTACTTATAGCTGTAGATTGTGTCAAATATCTTTGGATGAACACACAACGGCAATTTAGTTTCAAGTAGATAACCTTTTTAATTACCTTTGCAAAGCTCATTTTACGACTTATTTCCTCAGTGCTATTAGCAACATCTACAGCGTTACTTTTAAAATACTTTAATGCTCTGCTTTCGAAAAAGCAGGAATGTGGAACTGCACTCAAACCCATTTGAAATGTATCCGGGTGCACCAGACCAGTCCCAGTCCCAGGAACCAAATATTTGATGAGGAAAAATAGAAGAGAAGTCCAGGCACTCTCAGGATACAAAAAGGCAAATTTATTAACCCACTGCAACGTTTCGACCTACACGGTCTTTGTCAAGGACCGTGTAGGTCGAAACGTTGCAGTGGGTTCAATACATTTGCCTTTTTGTATCCTGAGAGTGCCTGGACTTCTCTTCTATTTTTCCTGCTTTCGAAAAAGGACACGATAGAGAAGGAACAATTGTAGTAATAAAATGTGGAGCCTTTCTGAAGAATGCAGAAGTAAAGATTTTAGTGTGTTCGATCTACGTAAATCCACAACATAAATGCTTTTATAAATTTTTAAAAAAAGTTAACTGTTAATAGCAGCTAAATGCAATTGGATGACATTTAACTTAAAAACACACGGCTCACCTGTCCACATTACTTCATTAGATATCCAGCCCCATATTGATGGTTCGTAAGCTGAAAATAACTTCTTGTAGTATACCAGATTGAGTTATTTGTGTCTCATAACTAACATAAGTTGTTTATTCATCTTCAGAATTATATGTGTGAGGAATGAGTCATCCTGATCCGACTTCATGCTACCTCTGCTAATATCAGACAGCATCATGCGAGGTCTTGTCAAAATGTAGACTTCATGAACGAGAAAGTGAGTGTTAGATATTTAAACACCTTTGTGTTAAAATTAGTATACTACTTCATCTCTTTACCATCCAGAGTCTAATGTGCATTAAGCCTACCTTCATGAAATGTTCTGTTAGAACAGTTAGAACAGTGCTCTCATTATTTTATAAAAGTGATTAATTGGTATTTTTGAGATCATTAGGCAAATATCTTCACTGGTTCTAAATGCACATTTTAGTCCATTTAGGCCTCAACATTAGTTTTATATTTTAATAGTTTCAAATTTGATATATTTTTTGTATATGAAATATATATATATATATATATTTATAGTTGAATATTTTGAAAAAAAAAATTTTTTACGTTTACAAACAGTATAAAATCATTTGAAAAGCTTACTCAAAGATTTTTAAATTGAGGCTGCAATTGGGAATGATTACAATGACACAATCCATATTTCTGGTGTAGAAAATGATTAAGTGTAAAGGTTTAGTTCCCTTTATAAAATAAGAAGCTCATATTGCCATAAGCCTAAAATACAGACATAAGGATTTCAGTTTGTTAGTTCTAAGTAAAAATAGTTATGTCTCTAGTGACTTATACAAATATACTTTACTGGTTGGATATTCAATAAATATACTCTTTGAATGCTCTGATTGCTACTCACAAAAGGGGGATTTAGCCTTAGAATAGATTTGACAATAAGAGTTTGTGGCCAATCTCACTTGCCCAGAATGCTTGTGAATGTGTTCACTAAGTTTTAGTAATTCTCCAAGTAAATAAAAATATATAGGAAAACTTGTTGGGAACTTAGTTCTGATATATTTTGCTTAGGAGAAGGTCTTTCATTCTGTTTCTAACAAAATCAATGGGAACTCAACTTGGCATAAGCGAGCAATGATTTACAATCCTGAAGAATAGTGATGTCCCGAACGGTTCGCCGAACGGTTCGCCGCGGATGGCGAACATATGACTCTGTACCTCACAGTCAGCAGACACATTCCAACCAATCAGCAGCAGACCCTCCCTCCCAGACCCTCCCACCTCCTGGACAGATTCCATTTTGAAGCTGCATTCTTAGTGAGCTGCCCAGGAGGTGGGAGGGTCTGGGAGGGAGGGTCTGCTGCTGATTGGCTGGAATGTGTCTGCTGACTGTGAGGTACAGAGTCATATGTTCGCCATCCGTGGCGAACCGTTCGGCGAACCGTTCAGCAAACTGTTCGGCGAACCGTTCGGGACATCACTACTGAAGAAGTGAGCAAGTCCCAAGTACCAACAAACTTTATCTGAGCTTAGCTAAAACCCCTTGATTTATTTTGAGATGCAATTACTCAGGTTCTTTCATTGCACACTCCCTGACCCAATGATTGTGTGCAAGCATACAGTTCTGAATTTTGCTGGTGTCAGCTCTGCGGCTTGTACAGCTCCACAGTTCCCAGGTCTGTGTATAGAAATGATGAATATTATATTACAAGGTCCACCAATTTCAAAGTCCACAAGTGGCTGGTCTACACTTAGTTAGTCATAACAAGCCAAATAATTAAAGTGGCATTGTATCAACATGTTTTAAGTGGCATTGTATATAACAAAGACTTTCATTTGACATTCTGTTTTGTTTTTTTAACTTTTGATAAGTTTAAGCATGGTAATTACAATGTTAAAGTTGCAGAATGAGTAGTGCAATAAAGAGATTAAATATAATTACAAGGTAGTATTTAAAAAACAAAATAACACAGGGAAAGAAATATGCATTTCAGACAAAAATCTGTCAATATTATATGGTTCTTAAATCAGAAATGCTCTACAACAAAATAAATTAAATGATAGTCTCTAGTCTTCTGGCTCAATCAAGCCTACATGTCTATTTATTTTTAAATCCGGCTTGTAATAGCTGACTCTACAACTTCAGAACATGGTATTTGGTGGAGACTCTTGCTGCTTCTACCACTGGCTGTACAGGTGTATCTACGAGTATCTATGCTGGCTGTATAGGTATATCTACGCGTATCTATGCTTCTAAAGATGTAAACATAATTTGAAGTTCTAAATCCTGAAAACATTGCATGTGTCTTAAATAAAGGTCTGGGTTGGATCATGTTCTACCTTTGGAAAGCAAGTGATTCCATCAGTCCTTGATGGAACTTAAGACTGTGTTCTCTGAGCAATTTGGTCATGAGACAATGTTCTCCTCTCAGGAAATACTGTGAAAGGTAGTTCATAAAAGACTATGCATGACTGCATGTGATTCTAACTTAAGCTGCTTGAGGAATCTAGTGCAGTCCATAATAATTCAATTTACTTTAATATCCACAATAATTCTAACATGAGGCTGTCATAACCTTTTAACCTTGATTGACTATGAAGCCAAAAAACTATTTGTGAAAGAAAAAGGTAGTTGGACTTACTTCTTCAGGTGTGTCACAGAGTCTTATGTTATGTCAACTAAGCTTTTTTTCCAAAGCGACCACATCTGATAAAACTATACAGTTATTGCTATAAACAGCTAACATTGTAGAGGTGTCAAGCCACCTGTTGTCTACATTGGCCTCTTTAGTTTCTTCCGCCTTTTATGAGTCCCAGTGCCCCTTTTTACCCTTTTACATGTGGCCCTTCTTCCTGGGAGTCAGGGACCAGTGCAGCCAGCCAACAGGTCTGTTACTAGCCCCCCTGAATAAACCACACAGGACACACAGTTCCCAATGGAACTAACACACATTACTTTATTTTGTTCTTAACCCCTTAAGGACCGAGGACAGTTCAGGACCGTCATCGGCATTTTTGCGTTGCCGACCGATGACGGTCCTGAACCGTCCTAACTTACTTACCTGATCGCCGTCGTTCCCCCGGCGGCGATCAGCGTGGCTCCGGTTGTGGGGAGACTGCCTGCAGCCCAGACAGTCTCCCCAAGGCAGATTAGGACCCCTGTGGCCATGTGATCGCTCAACACAGCGATCACATGGTCACAATAGGTGTCCATGTGTCTGCCTGCAGGGGGACTGTCTGTGCTGACAGGCAGTCTCCCTGCAAGTGTAAAATAAAAAAAAATAAAAATAAAGTTAATGTTAATAAAAAAAATAAATAATTATATATGTGTATATATGATACATAGACATATATTATATCTATATAATATATGTCTATATATCATATATATAATGCCATACTAAGTGTATTTTTATATTAATATGTACTTATATTAATATAAAAATACACTTATAATTAAATTACACACGTATATATATAATATATATAATAATATATATATACAATATATATAGTTATTATAAAATATAAATAATAAGTAATTTAAATTAAATAAAAATTTTTTAAATAATAATAAAAAATTAAAAAAAAATTATATAGCTATATGAAATTTTATTCTAACTGTATTTTAAAATTAATATATATATATTTATATCAAAATACACTTAGAATGAATTTGTATATATATCTATGTATATAAAAATAAATAAAATAATAAGAAATATACATACGTCCATATACAAAATTACATAAATAATTATATAAATATACACGTAGACTTCAAATATATAAATATGCATATATATTTAAATTCTACGTGCGTATTTATGTAATATTTTTACATAATTCAGTAATTTTATTGATTGCAATTTGAGGGACCTGCCTGCCAACCCAGGCCGAAATTCCAGAGAATTTAATTTGTTAGCACTGTATTTTACCCTGTAACGTTCTACGACACCCTAAAACCTGTACATGGGGGGTACTGTTTTACTCGAGAGACTTCGCTGAACACAAATATTAGTGATTCAAAACAGTAAAACATATCACAGCGATGATATTGTCAGTGAAAGTTACTTTTTTGCATTTTTCACACACAAACAGCACTTTTACTGATGATATAATTGTTGTGATACGTTTTCCAGTTTTTAAACACTAATATTTGTGTTCAGCGATGTCTCCCGAGTAAAACAGTACCCCCCATGTACAGGTTTTATAGCATTTTTGAAAGTTACAAGGTCAAATATATGGGTCAAATATTTTACATTGAAAATGGCCAGGTTGGTTACGTTGCCTTTGAGAGCATATGGTAGCCCAGGAATGAGAATTACCCCCATGATGGCATACCATTTGCAAAGAAGACAACCCAAGGTATTGCAAATGGGGTATGTCCAGTCTTTTTTAGTAACCACTTGGTCACAAACACTGGCCAAAATTAGCGTTCAATTTAGTTTTTTTACTTTTTCACACACAAACAAATATGAATGCTTACTTTGGCCAGTGTTTTCGACTAAGTGGCTACTAAAAAAGACTGGACATACCCCATATTGAATACCCTGGGTTGTCTACTTTAAAAAAAATATGTACATGTGGGGTGTTATTCAGAGATTTATGACAGATAATAGTGTTACAATGTCACTATTGATAAATTTTAAAAAATGTATGTTTTGAAACCGCAATATCCTACTTGTACCTATAGCCCTATAACATGCAAAAAAAAGCAAAAAAGCACATAAACACTGGGTATTTTTAAACTCAGGACAAAATTTTGAATCTATTTAGCAGTTTTTTTCATTCGCTTTTGTAGATGAGTAAAAGATTTTTCAAGTAAAAGTCAAAAAACATGTATTTTTTCCAGTTTTTCATCAGATTTTTGTATTTTTTTTAACTTAAAATACATGAGATTATATAAATAATGGTATGTAAAGAAAGCCCCTTTTGTCCTGAAAAAAACAATATATAATTTGTATGGGAACAGTAAATGAGAAAGCAGAAAATTAAAGCCAAACACAAACACCACAAAAGTGTAAAAATATGCCTGGTCGCAAATGTACAACATCGCAAAAACAGTCCAGTCCTTAAGGGGTTAAAAAATATGGCATGTAAATATAAACAAAGATGCATACCTTGATGAACAAGCAACATAATAATACCTCAAATATATAACACTATCACAGTTTTCCAAACTATGGAAAAACATTTTTTTTTGTAATTTCCTAATTTGTATATTGTGTTTATACAAATCAATTAATTTTTCCAGGTTCACAAACAGTGGGTTATGTAGAGCCATCATAAAGTAAAAAACAGAATGTAAAAGAAGGGCTGCGCCAAAGAAAAATAGATAATATCCAGTCCAAATACTGGTAAAAGTCCAACCTAAAAAATGTGTCCTCTCTGTCGTCTTTGGATACAGGAACAAAGTCTTCAGGTATGGGATATAAAAGATAAAAAGAGAACAACCGATAGTGCAATATGTATGGTTCAAGTGGAATAAAATAAAAGTAGCAAACTCACAATTTCTAAGAGCTTCTGTCCAGCTCTAGGGTAAAGCGCACACAGCGGTATAGTCCCCGCTTATGGGACGTGCGGTGAGTGTCGATTCTTCAGTGGTCTACAGAAACTCAAATAGAACAGAAACAAGCCAGATAGTGCTCTCTGTATGGGTGTATATAGTAGGATAAAGTAAAAAAACGTACTTACAAGTACAGAGCAGGTCAACTGCTCTATGATGTCAGCGCTGGTGGAATAATCCCCACCTAGGATTTCTTTCACTGCACAGGAACTTGTGGAAATGGTGTTAAAATCAGGATAAATATTTATCAAATATATATAAAATTTGCCAGGGATCAGTGTATAAATAAAGATAACGCGTTTCGTCATACAGACTTCTTTAAAAATGGAATGCAATACAATACCTGGCAATAGGGTTTATATAAGCATAGTTCAATACAAAATTTGGCACCAAAAAATTATTTCAGTCAATCAGAATAAAAGTACATATTTACATATCAAAATAACAATAATCAGTTGAGTTAGAATAATACATTGTATAATGAGGCATATTCAGTGAGTTTTTATTAAAAACGAGGATAAAAACAAGTATAAAATCATGGAAACATTTGGTCACGTGATTTGCGGAATTTCCGGTTTCGAGTGGATGGCCGCAAAGCCTCATGGGTGTAGTAGTTTCCCCATGCGGCAAAACACAATAAATAACAAGTGTTCAAAATAAAAAAGCCCTATAAGTATAAGTTACTGATAAATAAGCAGATATATAAATATAAAAGGAATGTGAAAACGGGGAAAGAATATGGTACTTCCGGGTCACGTGATGCGACGGCACTTCCGGTATCGTCTCTAAAGCCGCAGGGCTTCATGGGGAGTGTAG